GAAGGTTTCAGTTTCTTTATATCCTTGGCAACATTTGTTATTTTCTGTGTTTTTTATTATAGCCATCCTGGTGTCTGTGAGGTGATAATTCCTTGTGGTTTTTGAATTGTATTTTTCTCTGATCATTAATGACGTTGAGCATCTTTTTATATGATCATTGGCCATTTCTGTACTGGTGAGGATGTGGAGAAAAGGAACCCTCGTGCGCTGTTGACAGGAATAGAAATTGGTGCTACCACTGTGGAAAGCAATGTGGAGTTTCCTCAAAACATTGAAAATAGAAATACCATATAACCCAGTGATTCCACTACTGGGTACTTACCCAAAGAAATGAAAACACTAATTGGAAAAGATATATGCACCCCTGTTTTTATTCCAACAATATTTGCAATAGCCAAGATATGGAAATGACCTAAGTGTCCATTGATAGATGAACGGATGACGAAGAATGAGAGTTTGTGTGTATGTATGTGTGTGTGTCTGTGTATAAAATGGATTATTACTCAGACATATAAGAGAGATGCCATTTGTGACAACATGGATAAAACTAGAAGGTATTATGCTGAGTGAAATAAGTGAGACAGAGAAAGCCAACTACCAAATTATTTCACTTACATGTGGAATCTAAAAAGAACATGAATGAACCAAAGGAAAAAAAAAAAAAAACGGACACAGGCTCGTAAATACAGGGAACAAACTGGTGGTTGCCAGAGGAGAGGGAAGTGGAGGAATGGAGGAAATAGGTAAAGGAATTAAGAGGTACAAACTTCCATTTCTAAAGTAGATAAATCATGGAGATGATAGGTATAGCATAGGGAATAAAGTTATTAATATTGTAGTAATGTGGCATGGTTATAGATGGTAGGTAGCTACACTGATCATGGTGAGCATCGTGTAATTTGTAGAATTCTTGAGTCACTATGCTGTATTCCTGAAACTACTACAACATTATTTGTCAACTACATATCAATAGTAAATATTTAAAAAATAAATAAAAAATTCTAAAAATGAATTGACTGTAAATATGAGGGTTTATTTCTGGATTCTCAGTTCTATATTATATTATTACTTATATATTATTATTTTATATATTATTATTAATATATATTATTACTTATTATTATTATTTTATATATTATTATTAATATATTATTACTTATATATTAGTTCTATATTATATATATTACTTATATATTACCTTATATTATTACTATGCTGTCTTTAGCTTTTGTAGTAAGTGTTGAAATTGGGAAACATGAGTCCTTCACGGACTTGGTTCTTTTTTCAAGATTGTTTTGACCATTCTGCATCCCTTGCATTGATTGCCACATACATTTTAAGTTCAGCTTGTCAATTTCTGCAAAGAAGCCAGCTGGGAATTTCATAGAAACTGTGTTGAATCTATAGAACAATTTGGAGGAGTATTGCCATCCTAACGACAATAAGTGTTTCAGTCCATAAACACTGGAGGTCTAGTCTTCTTTAATTTCTTTGAACTGTGTCTAATAGTTTTAAAGAATAGGTTTTGCACTTCTTTTGTTATGTTTATTATTAAATATTTATTCTTTTTGATGCTATTGTAAATGGAATTTTTCTTAATATCATTTTTTGGTTGTTCATTGTGTGTGTAAGAAATATAGTTGATTTTGCATATTGGTACTTATATTCTGCAACCTTCTTAAACTCATTTTTTCGTTTTAATTTTTTTAAGTGGATTTATTATAGAATTTTCTATATAGGAGATCATGTCATCTATGAATAGAGATAGTTTTATTTCTTCCTTTTCAATTTGCATGTCTTTCATTTTCATGTTCTATTTCATTTTCTTGCTTAATTAGCCTGGTTAGCCACCTTAGTCTTATTTATCAGCAGTATTTGGTATAATTAATTATTCCTTGCTTTTTGTAGCCCTCTCTTCACTTGGCTTCATGGATGCCACACTTTTTTGGGTTTTCCTCCTGTCTTACTGGCTACTTTTTCATTTCTTTAGCTGGTTCTTTCTCTTCCCTCAAAACTCTTAACCATCTCCCACCTTTGAAGTTAAGACTCGTGTATTCACTTCCCTACCTGATGAACCCTGCTTGGATGTCTAATATGCAGCTCAAATTTAACCTTAACAAGGTCAACTTAACTGCTAATCTTAAATGAAGTGCTTTGTGGAAAAAAAAGAAATGCTAACATTTACTGAATGTTTACTACTAGCACTATTCATTATCTTGTTTATAACACATCTGCATTCTGATACTTGGGGGACCTGAACCCTGGTCACTTTGATTCCAGGACTTGAGCGCCTTCCTAACAGCCATCACAAAGTGTATAGCCCTGCTTTTCTCCTCTTGAAATTGTTCTTTAGAGTAGTAGACTGGTCAGAAAAAAGAATCCTATAGTATTTCTGATAAATGGAATTAGAGATGCTTGTGAACCATACAGTGCTTTAGAGTGACTGCTTCTCTTTTCCAGAGTGGATACACAGTGATGTCTCCTGTGTGCAGATAGGCTCTACCATTCCCAAGGAAAACCTACATTGAGTTTTTGGCTAGTTTGTCTTGGTCACTTTCCTAGGTTAGAATTTTTCTAGCCTTTAGATATACTTCTAGCCCATCAGAACTGTTCTCATCCATTTGCTTGACTATTGCTCATACCTTCTTGTCTTTTTCCCATTTGTTTATGAACTATTAGCTCCTCTGCGTTTATGCAAGATATCCCACTCTGACATTTCCCTTTTCAGTACCTGGATCAGCTTTTGCTCAGTATTTCTGACACATTGGTTTTACTTTTCTTTATTAAAATATTGAATACAACAACGTCGTACTTTTTTTGATTAGTCATTCTATTTTTTAATGGAAATATAGTTGAAAAATTACTTATCCTTTTAAATAGTAGTGACAAGAGAACTCCATTTTCTCCCTAAAATCTTTAATGAAAGTGAAGTGAAATTGTTGGGAATACATTTTTACAATAAATTGTGTCCAGCTTAAAAGCTAGCCTGTTTTCAGGTGCTATCTGCAATCTGACTTGGTCCCTATGACAGATGTCCTACTAAGAAAGATGAGAACGCTGTGATGGGATTGTTTGTCTATGTTCTCATTGCCAGTTAGGGGCAGAGCCAGTTCTCTTCCCAGTTGAGCTTGTTTATTCTGGTAGAATTTGTATATAGGTTTGCTTTCTACTGTAGGGTGAGGTCCCATATCCACGTTTTGCCTCTTGCTGCTTAGAGGTCTCACCCTTCACAGAAGCCCCCTCACAGGGACTTTATTCTATATTCTATTCACCTTTCTATTTTGGGGCTAACTTATCTTCTGGCTTTTTTTTTCTTTCCCTTTCTAGGTGTCAGCCAATCATGAGGCATTATAATAGTATATCCAGAGTCAGAACTAGATTCAGAACTCAGCTTTCTGTGGCTTTGGACCACCTCTCTAAACTTCATAGACCAGATGATCTCCAAGGGCATTTATAGCTCCAGGCTTCTCAGGCCTTAGGATTCTCTTTCTCTGATAAGTGGTCTTGGACGTAACGTCTGAATAGTTGGCAAAGGTTTACTATGCAACACCAGGGATGGCAGATATGTAGCTTCACTTCCATCATTCCATCCTGGCAGGCTCATTATATTCATCTCATTGCTGTCACATGGAAACCAACCATGACTCAGACTTCTCAGTGTAGCGTAGGGTGCTGAGTAACCACTGCCAGGAGATCACAGGTGACGTGTGCTTGTCCCCTTACTGTCTTCCCTCCCACCACTAGGGCTTCAGTCTGAAGGAGGAATTAGTGGTGACCAGGTTACCATCAGTGGGTTCTGGGGCTTAGCTCCCTGTTTCCACTACTCCCTTCTTATATGACCTTGAGAAAGTTATGTTACTTCTATGGGCCTCAGTTCCCTTTTTTCGTAATATAGAACATAACTATAACCCAACTTCATGGGGCTTTAGAGAGGAATAAGTGAAATAAGAGGTTTACTTTTTATTTTTTATTTATTCATGAGAGACACAGAGGGAGGCAGAGACATTGGCAGAGGGAGAAGCAGACTCCATGTGGGGAGCCTGATGTGGGACTTGATCCCAGGACCCCTCAACCACTGAGCCATCCAGGTGCCGGGAAATAAAAGGCTTAATTAAAAAAGTGCTTAGAACAGTGCCTAGCCCATAGAACTTAATAAATGTTTACTATGGGAAGACTGGTGGAGGAAACATTCATGGACTGACATGGTCTTATGGCACCCTTTGATTCCTTTAAAGTAGTTTAATATTCATTCTATCTATGAGTGTGTATTGATCCCATTTCAAAGTTTATTAATTTATTTAGTAAAAATTTAGGGCTTTCTATAGGCTAGGTTGCAACCAAGTGTTTAGACTGTAACAGTAAACAATTCCCTTTCAGAGTTCACAGTGTCGTGGGGATGACGAGTAGTTATAGTATCCTTAATAATTGCAAAGATTGGAGCTTGCACAGGGTCTTCAGGACTAGCCTTCTTGGCAATAATGTTAAATCTGGGTGGGAAGATTAATACTTGAGTCCTCCAGACCTGGCTGGCCTCTTACCAGTATTTCATAGGTACTGAATCCCTTGGGGGAATTGTTAATACTTGTTCTTACTGGTGGCACACCTCACCGGCATGCTCATGCTCCTTGGCATTCAGCCAGTCACTCAGACAGCCCCAGGCTTTCCCCATTGCTCTCTGAGCTGCTGTCCCCCTGTCTCAGTCAGAGCTTATGGGGTTGAGAAGCAGAAATATGAAGACAAATGAAGGAGGCCTGGATTTGCAGTTAGAGAATAGTTGCATCTCTCTGTGTGCCTTAGGAAAGCATGACTGCCAGGCTTATCAGGGACGTGGAAAAGTTGATGAGTTCATACCCCTGCTTCACTCAGGGTACGGCAAATGTCCATGACAGCCTTGTTTGATGGTAGCGTGGAATCTGGGTGGAAGAAAAATATATTCTTGTATGGCTGGGGGTGAGCATTGGTGCTGTGACCCATGCTGTCTCCTCACTGGTGTTTTACAGTAAACAGCTGTTATGTGATGTGATGATTGTGGCCGAAGATGTCGAGATAGAAGCCCATCGTGTGGTCCTGGCAGCCTGCAGCCCCTACTTCTGTGCGATGTTCACAGGTATGGTGAGGGGCTGCAGCCCCACTGAGAGAATATTTTGGGTGGTGGCATGAGGGGAAGAGAATGCTGTGACACTCACTATGAGAAGCTTCTGTGTCCTAGATACTCTGTTTTGCACCTTGGAGGATTTGATGCAACCAGCCTTGTCTGCAGCCCTTTGTCACCATGAGGGAAAAAAGAGGTAGAATCATAGAGGTTATTAGTTCTCAGACATCAGCATGCATCATAGTCACATGAGGGAGATTTTAGAAGTGTAGGCTTTTGGATTCATCCCCAGGCCTCTGATCTTTCATTTTGCAGATGGGGAAGGGAGTTGCCCCAGGTCACGTAGTAAATGAGTGGAACTTGGCTTCTTGATACCTGGCCCCATGCTGGACTAGCTTGTCCTTCCCTACCCAGTTCTACCAGGCAAGGTCTATGAACCTCCTTGAGCTTTTACAGGTGTGTGCAAGAGATTTGGGACAAGTGATGGTGGGGCTTGGAGGGGAGAATAAGACATAAATTTTCACCATCTGGCATTTGGTTTCATCACCTTTGCCCGCTTTCTAGAGAGTCCCTGTTTCCTGTACATGTCAAATAGCCTTGTCCAACTAGTTCACATGGCAGACTGAATTCCTTGAAACCTGTGGGTGGAGTATCCTGTCTTCACTACCTCACAGCATCTCCCCTGTTCTCTAAATCACTGCTGACTGAAGGCCAGATGGGCTGGGTGAGACCCTCAGACTGGGTCAGGTATGTCCCTTCCCCATGTTCACCAAGTACCCAGTGCTGCTTCTGAGTGTGGTCACTATCACTCTCTGTTCTTGTCTGTTTGTTGGTATCTGCTGTGCCCTGTGCTCTGGCATCTGGTGTATCAGCTCCTTCTCATCCTGCAGTTTATAGCCTCTGAGAGGCCTCCTCTGACCACCCCTGCCACAGTTCCCCAATATATATTTTTTATAATGTTTATCCCTGTCTGAAAATCCTGTTGTTGGTTGTCAACATGTTCTTTATCTTTCTCTCCTCACTAGACTGTAAACTCAATGAAGATAGGGGCTGTTGTTGGGCTTGTTTGCTACCATACCCTAAACATCTGGTACACAGTAGGAGTCAGATGTTTTTTTTTCAAATGAATGAATGAAATGTCTTCATAGTGGATTGTGAGCATTGGGCATTTGAGGACTACATCTTGTCACTGTTGAATCCTCAGAATCAACCACAGGGTGTGGTGTTTAGGAGATAGTAAGTAAGTGAAATCTGAAAGAATGAATGTGGGCTTGTTAGGAATGGGTGAGTGTAGGCGCCCAATTTTTGCCACATAGGATCTTAACCTTTTCTTTATATGGCACGTGGCCTCTCCTGGGCAAGAGTGGTTCTAGTTGGGGATGACTTAGCACTTGTGTTTTGAGAGTTCCTCACCTGTGGCTCCCTCTTGGCTCATCATGTAAAGGAGCTGGTTTCAACTTGGAGCTGTGCCTCTGCTAAGTGGACCAAGCCACTCTTATCTCTCTGTGAGCCCTTGGCTGGGAATTAGTAGCCTGGAAAATGTCTTAGAAAATCGGCTCATTTTATTACCTAAAAGTTTTTTTTTTTCTTTTTAAAGATTTTTTTAAATTAATTAATTAATTAATTTATTTATTTATGACACAGAGAGAGAGGTAGAGACATGGGCAGAGGGAGAAGCAGGCTCCCTTCGGGGACCCCGATGCAGACACGATCCAGGACCCCAAGATCACACTCTGAGCCAAAGGCAGGCCCCCAACCACTGAGCCAGGCGTCCTGATTGCCTGGAAGTTTTGAGCTATATCCTCTCTGGAGTAGTTTCAAACTCTAATACTAAGGTTTTATTTGTTTCCCTCTCTCCCATCCATCTCTCTGTCTTTAAAATAATTCATTTTGTTTGCAGTAATTATTTAGTTACAGCTTCACTAAGTAGCTCTGCCAGTCATTCTTCTGTTGTGTGTGTGGTTTTGAAAATCCATTGTTGAGAGAGGAAATCTATCTGGAATTGTAGTTGTGGCTCTACTAGTTGCTAATGAACTTGCCTCTGGGGAGTGGAAGTGCCTAACCAAAAACAAGGTGATTCTGCAAAGAGAAAAGATGCTTCTGGAGCAGATCTTAGATTCTAGTCATTGAAGGGAAAAAAACAAAAAGAACACAATCTAATGTGATACCTAGCTCAGATCTTCCATTGAATCTGATTACTGCCCATCCAACCATCCTTCTAGCCAGCCAGCCAGCCATCTCTCTGTCTCTATACCCACCTATCCATCTATCTATCTGAATACTACTCACATAGGTTCACTGCAGGGAAAAAAAAATTAGAAAGATGTGGACAAGCCAAAAAACAAAAATTAAAAAAAAAACCCACATGTACTATAACATATAGATTATGGTTTATAGCCTTTCAGACTTTATACTTGTGAATATATACAAATACAAAATAAATTTTTAATATAAATTAATTCATTTTGTATATATATATAGTTGATGTAAGGTGTATACTTGAAAAAAAATTGCTATTCATCACCCTGGAATGTTCTCCCCCCTGATTCCTTGCCTAACTCCTATTCATCTTTCATTACCACTTAAGCAGTTCTTCCTCAGGTAAGCTTTCCCATGACCCCCTTGGATTAAGTTAAATTCTTTTGTTATTTACTCTTGTGATACTTTATGCTTGTCTTTAGTATTATTGCTTATCTTATTACTTCTTCAATATCTGATTGCTCTTGTCAGTCAGTTAGGAACTATACCTGAATTCACCACTGTTTCCCCACTGACTAGCATGATCTTCCAAGTGGTAGGTGCTCAAAGAAAATTTGCTTAATTGAAAAAAAAAAAAAAAAGAAAATTTGTTTAATTGAACCAGCACTATATGGTCAATATATTTTCACATCAGTGAAATTACCTCTACATCATCATTTTAATGGGTTCATAAGATTCTGTTGTATATATCCTAATTGAAAATCAATTTCATTTTTGGTTAGAAAACAATTCTTTCTAATATTTTGCTATTATAAGTGATACTGTAATGGGAATCTTTGCCCCTTAATCTTATTTACCTTATGATTATTTCCTTAGAATAGATCCCTAGAATAAAGGCATGCACACTTTAAAGACTTGTGAGGTACATGCCAAAAATCCAAAGTGTTTTGAACAGCTGTACCAGCTTATACTTCAATCAACAATATATGAGATGTGTATTTTTTGAAGCTCCTTGGTTTTGCTTAAACCTTGGTGAAGAGGTACAAACAAAAAATAACATTGTAAAATTTTGATCTGATGATCAGGTTCAGCTTCAAAATCCATAAACTTAGTCATGAAAAGGCCCAGCTGACTCTTGTTCAATCCATTTCTCTCAGCATGTTTAAGGCCAAAATGAAAAGGAAATACTCGTGACATTCTTCTGACTTGAATGATGTGATTACAATCTTTTTACTCAGGCTTAACACATTTTTTTTTTTTTTGTCCTGAGTTCATATTGCCCAAGTGCCCCAGATATCAACCCTGTTCCTTGACCATGTCCTGCCCAGAATAACATGGAAGAATGTGAAACAGATCTGAGTGCCCACAGGAGAGTGTCAGGAGGCAACCAGCTTGTGAGAAGATCTGGGATGGGCCATCAGTAACATGCAGCATTCCTTTAGCACAGCCACTGTAGAGGCCAGCAATGCTGTGTTCCACCCATCTTTGTTCTGTGAATATGGATTACCTTAGATTCCCCTGCTCCCTCCCTATGTAGCACCTCCATCCCCAAGGAAGCTAATTTTACCCCAATAGCTAAGTCAGTTTTTGTCTTCTTTGTCATGCCCTTCACTATGGGTCCTGTGTACTAGAGTATTTGTATTCCATATGGGTCCCTACGTGTCATCCAGGTACATTAAAAACAACCCCATCGGGGATCTCTGGGTGGCTCAGCTGTTTGGCGCCTGCTTTTGGCCCAGGGCGCGATCCTGGAGTCCTGGGATCGAGTCCCGCATTGGGCTCCCAGCATGGAGCCTGCTTCTCCCTCTGCCTGTGTCTCTGCCTCTCTCTGTCTCTCTGTCTATCATAAATAAGTGAGTAAATAAATCTTTAAAAAACAAAACAAAACAAAAACACAACCCCATCATATGGTGGTAAAGGAACCAAGTTTTAAAGAATACGTGGGGGCAGCCCCAGTGGCTTAGCAGTTTAGTGCCACCTTTAGCCCAGGGTGTGATCCTGGAGACCCAAGATTGAGTCCCACGCCAGGCTCCCTTCATGGAGCCTGCTTCTCCCTCTGCCTATGTCTCTGCTTCTTTCTCTCTGTGTCTCTCAATAAATAAATAAATAAAATAAATAAATAAATCTTAAAAAAAATAAAGAATATGTGGGCTCAGGGTATGAACGCCCATCATCACTTGGCCTGATGGAAGTATGGGATTGCTTGCTGTCCTGGGCTCTCTGTGTTTCCTGGAGATGTCTATGTACAAGGTCCTAAGGTACAGCCTGAGGCTTTAAAGAAGTTTAAGACCTAGTCCTTTAGTCCATGCCACCATCATCTCTCACCTAATTTCCTGCAGTAGCCTTTGAACTGGTCAACCTGCCTCCTGTTTTCTTTGTTCACCCTCAGCCATTCTCTACACTGTAGCTATAGTGACTTTCCAAAATATCAATATGATGGATCCCTTAGCTTCTTGAAGTCTGTCAGGGGCTTTCCACTGCTCTCAGGATGAAGTCTGAACTCCTTGGCATGGCCCATGAGGCCGTCTGGTGGTCTAGATCCTGCTTATATTTCCAGTCTTGTCTCCCTGTTCCTCCCTCTGCACTCTGTGCTTCTGCCAGACTCAACTTCTTAGGGACCTAGAACAGGTCGTGTTCTTTCTTACCTCTTTGCCTAGAATATATATTCTTTCTCATACTCAACTTCTCTTCTGAGTAACTATGACTCCTTCTCCAGATCTCATTTTTAGATCAGCAGTTCTTAACCATCATGAATCAGTCTGATAAAAACAATGGAGTCTGTCCTCTAAAAAGCATTTATGAGTTCCTGTGTGGTAATCGTTACGTATACAGTTCAGGGTACAGGAATCCCTGCTTAAGAATGCTTTAAGCTGAGCCCTCTTTTCTAGTATTTAACATACTTTGTAATTGTTGGTTTACTTGTTTCTCTCTCCGTTGGACTGAGCTCCATGAAGGCAGGGCCATAACTTACTCATCTTGGTGTCTTCTGGCCTACCACAGTGCTTGGCACACAGGGGCTTTTGATACATGGTTGTTGAATGAATGAGTGAATGAATGAGCGAGTGAATGAATGAATGAATGAATGAACGAATATCTGCCCTTGATTGAATCATGTTCTTTTTGGAAGAACAGGCATGCATGATACTGATGACAAACAGACATGGAAGGGATTAAAAGGATGTGCACCTAACATTTTCTGAAAGTTCAAATGTGAGCTGGCTGGGCTGGGCCTCTAGGGAAAAACAGAGGAAGAGGGCTCTTGGGTTGACCTTGAAGATGGAAGGACGAATAGGGCTCATGTTTTGTTTTCTAGAAATATGTTGTCAGAGTAGTAGAAATGAGGAAAGGAGCAAGAATGACAAAGCCTTTTTTGGCTCCTGCCCCTCAGGAATTACTGGAGTCCTTAGAATTATGAGATACCAAGAAGAAGCCCCTTTTCTTCCCCCTTTTTTCCACCATCCAACAAGTAATTTTTAAGGGCTTGTTATATGCCAAGCACTTTGTTAGGTGTTGAGGATATTTTGACACATAACCTTGATAAGATCTCATCCCTCTTGGTTCTTGTTTGCCTGGGTCTTATGTACTAAGTTGTCCTCAGAATTTGGACCAAAGCCTTGTTTGGGAATACTTTTATCGAGGTCATTAGTTAGGGTTAGGTTTAAATTACACAGGGATTTATGAGAAATGAAATGCGGTCTATAGTTAAGCCAAGATGCAAATACCAGCCCCGGCTCTCACTGGCCATATGCAAATACCTTTTGAAATGCCAGTTCTGTAATTTGTAAAATGGAAATAGTACCTACCTCCTGGGGTTGTTACAAGGATCGAATGAAACAATGTGTGTAAACCCTTAGCAGAGAGGTGCTGGCACACAGCAGTAGCTATTATTGTGACCACTTTCAGAGTCTGTTTTAAGCTGAAGCCTTAGTTTGGTGCAGTAATTTGTGCTCAGCCTTAAGAAATACTAAGATTGGATTTGACAAGTCTGTGTCAGGTTTCCAACTTCCTATAAGGGAACTTTCTTAAAACATAGATTTTGTTTTTGAGGCCATGATTTTTCTTTCACAATGTTTTTTTTTTTTTTTTCACTCCTTGCTTATTGAAGTCTTAAGCACTTCGTTTAGAAAATTAGAAACGTCAAAGTCAGGTTAAAGAAGCAGGAAAAAATCCCCTAAAGTTCCACCACCTAGAAAACTGTGTCTTAATGTTTGCTGTACATTTGATTAGTAGGAATGATCTTTCATTCCCCAGAAATATACAAATTTTGCCCATATATACTTATATTTTCATATAATTCCAGGAGTTTGCACTTGTTTAGCCAAAGTTACAAAACTGACTGACTAATATGACTCTCAGGTACAGACTCCACAGAGAGGAAACAATCAGGTTGGGCTCTGATTTCGCACTCACATAAAGACTACTGAATCTCATGGTTTTTGCATTCAGGTGGTTTCCTCTTTCAGTCTTTTTTTCTAAGGCCCAAGTTCTTAACCAAAGAATTGACTGTAATTATCGTTTGCATTATATTTATCAACTGGACTCTTACTGATGAACTTCTTAATAGCTATTAAAAGAGATGAGTTGAACTTCTGATTTCCTTGGGTATGTGTTTTTATTTATGGGTCTTGGAATAAACTCAAGAGGGAGATGGTGAGAGCCTGTCTAATGGGTGCAGTAGAAATCCATTATCCTTTCCTGTTTTCCCTTCATCCCTCTGTCCTGCTACAGGGCCCTTGGTACTGAGGCTTTTTCACCAGCTTCTACCAGCAGCCTGAGGGAAGACAGAGCAGGGAGGGGGGGAGGTCTCTGGTCTACCTGACCCGGCAGTGGAGGGAGTGGGCAGGGTTCACAGTGTTTTTCCTCCCTTGCCTCCCTGTCGCAGACTCATTCACATCTCTGACTGTGCTTGGATGGGAATTGTGGATTGGTGGAGGCATTGTGTGCAGCCCGTGAAACTTGGAGGTGGGCGTCTGCAGCCCACACACTGTACTGTACTTTATTTTCTTGGCTCCATTGCCCACATTCCACAGAGAGAAAACAACTACCCAGGCTCTGTTTTCATACTCACACAAGGGCTTCTGCATCCCTGTTCTTGCAGTCAAGTTGCCCTTTATTTCAGTCTACAAAGACACATGTCTGGCCTGTCTCTTCCTTCTGAAATCAGCAGCAGTGTTTGTGGAATGAACTTGGCTATTAATAAACCCATGTGCCATCTAGAGAGGACAGACCAAAGGTTGGGGCCTCAGGTCAGCAGATGTGATGCTACTGCTGCCCTAGTTCATAGGCTCTGTCCTTCCTTTGTTGGATTATTATCAGGGCCTCCCAACTGTTTTCCCTGCCTCTGATCCAGCTTCCACCATGCATTCAAACTTTCATTTGAAAATACCCATCTGTTGATATCATTCTCTGTTTATAACCTTTTAGTGTTGCTACACTTAGGATGAAGTCCAACGTCATTTGCACGACTTACAGGACTCCGCAAACCCTGGTACCTCTCCAGCTTCCTCTTGCTGTCACCCCATCCGAGCCTCTCACTGTTCCCCACATTTGTCCTTTTGATACTTTTTTGCATTTACAAGGTTCCTGCATCCAGCTCGTGCTCCCTCATCTTTGCTGCCTGTGGAAATACCCAGCTTAAATGTAACCTCCTACTAGGATGGCTTCCTAGGATTTGCTGCTCCATCTTCTGCATTCTTAAGATTTAGTATAGAGTAGTGATTATGAGTGTGGGCTCTAGGGTCCTTCTCCCTGGTTTCAGTCCCTGCCTGGCCCCTTCCTACACGTGTGAATTTGGGCAAAATGAAATGCCACCCTCTTGTGCTTCATTTTCTTCATCCATAAAATGGGGATAATATTAATGAAACTCATGGGTGATTGTGAAGATCGAAAGAGGCATCACTTCCAAGGCCTTACCACAGTGCTTAGCCACAGCATTCAGTAAATGTGACTTTGTGTTGTTGTTATACTGGTACTTTGTATAGATCTCAAGGAAGCTCTTACCACTTCATGTATTTTTATATACCTGCCGTGCTAGACCACATGCTCCTTGAGGACAGGTATATATCTTATTTACTTTTCCTGGCCCTGTGTGTATATGTTTACAGGAAATGTTGGTTGAATGAGTTACTGCACACAGATGTGCCATCAGAATGGAAATGGGCAACCAATATAATGGGGAATGCTTTGAATTGGCTTCAGAACAATTCGAATGATTTCAGACCCAAAGTTGGTGTGACCTAGATGTCAGCTGTTTTATCCTCCTCCATGCCTGAATCCCTTCTGCTGCCTCCTGGTGCTTTTATGCTGCCAACACAGGGCAGGAGACTGAAAGTTAAGCACCAAGTTTGTGTCCATTTTGGTTTTGTTTTGGACTGCAGGTGACATGTCCGAGAGTAAAGCCAAGAAGATTGAAATCAAGGATGTGGATGGGAGGACGCTGAATAAGCTGATTGACTACATCTATACGGCAGAGATTGAGGTGACCGAGGAGAACGTCCAGGTAAACTCAGCCCGAGCTAGTAGCTCATTGCACACTCAGGGCCGCCATTTTATAGCCTCATTTCACGGAACTCTCAGAACAACTGATTGGGTAGCTGGAGAGGAAATCAAAGCTCCAAAGAGGTTACGTGACCTGCTCTGCATCACATGGCGTGTGGGTGGGTGAACGACCCTCAGACTCATGCGTGCCTGACAGTGGCCCCCATGCTCTTTGCTGCTAAGCCAGGATACCTCAGAATGAGCTTGGGCCCCGAGCAAAATGTCTTTATCTCATGTTGGTTCAAACACTGGATGGAGGAAGAACTAAAAGCTTGGGTGACCCCACTTCTCCCCAGTTATCATGCCATCTCAGGGATTTGCAGTATGGATTGTGAGGCTGTTAAAATTTTTTCCTGTTTCTATGTTAGTCAGCAAAGTTTCCCTGAGCACTCATGCTCAGAGGTGGAGATACCAGGCACCAGGTATGAACCTCAGCAGGGGAGTGCAGCTGTGAAATGTGTGCCTTTTCCTCCTTTTGCTCCCCTGCCCTCACCCTCAGCCATTTGGAACCTTGAAAAGAGTCAGTGAAGATACTGCGTTGCCCCAAGCTGTGTGTCTTTACTGTGGGGACATGAGGAAGCAGTGGCCTGCTTCAGTAGAGGAGATGGTTGAGGGTATGGCCCACTCTGGAAGTCCACAAGCCCCTGGGCTAAACACAGATATACTATTTCTTGTCATTAAGGGCCTTACTCTTTCAGGGAAGTGCTGGAAATTACAGGTGATGCGAAGGATTTTTCTTCTTTCTTCTTTTAAACATACAGTTCCACCTTATTTATTGTGAGGCAGATACCTCTCCAGTGACCAGAACACCTATTTCCCTTATCCAGAATCCCACCTCCTTTACCAGGATCAAGGCATTTGGGAGACTACATTGGTAATCATTTATCCATTCAATTCAACTCAAATGTTTGTGTGCCAGTTATATGCCAGGTACTTTGTTGAGCACAGTGGTTGTGACAGCAGTAGTGACTCTGTTGCCTGCTGCCATGCAGTTTGTGGTCTAGGGGTGGGACATTGTTCATCAAATAAGCGTACAATTTCTGCACAAATCATGCTACGTTCTTTGAAGGAACAAATCATGCTAAGTTCTTTGAAGGAAGGGATCATGATAGAGAATGTCAAGGGGACTCAGTCTGGATGCGTGAGGGGATCTGGAAAGGGCTCTTTTGGGAGATAGGATTTAAGCTGCAGCCTGCATATGAGTGGGAGTTAGCTTGGTGTGGTGCAGGGTCCTTGTGAGGGTGCAGGCGGGCTGGGGGTCTGGAGGCGCCCTGTATTCCAGCCTCCAGAGCCCGCCTCTCGATAGAGCCTGCTTTGTCTCTGGCTTCTGCACAGACTCTCGGATTGTACAGTGATCTAATCTAATAATCCCTTGACCTTTTACAAGTGAGGTATATTTTATACCCAGTAAAACACATGACCATCCCATTTCTTTTCTGATCTTTTTTGTCCAGAATGGAGCAGGCAGCAGAGAACTCCCATCTCAGATCTAGGAGCATAATTGAAACACCTAATTGACTTTTGAGCAGTAACAGTAATACGCAGAGTAATTGGGTATAAAATGAGTATAGTGCATGTATTGAGAAAATATGTTACATGTTTGACAGTTACATTATCGTCACATTCATATTCACTCAAATACTTTAAAAAGTGATGCAAATGTTGAGATTTATAAGATGCAAAAACTTAAATCCTTTGCAGCTCTAATGAAAAATGCTCAATGTCAACCTAAAAATCTACAGGGGTAAATAATTTTTAAAATCTTGCATTAGGGTATAATTAATAACTTTAAGAAAAATATTTATTTATTTTAGAGACAGAGTGAGTGGTGGAGGGAAAGAGAGCCTCAAGCAGACTCTTTGCTAAGCACAGAGCCCTATGCCGGCTTCCATCTCACAATCCTGAGATCATAACCCTGAGATCACGACCTGAGCCAAAACCAAGAGTTGGGTGCTCAACTAACTCCACCACTCGGGTGCCCCTAATCAATAACTATTAATCATATAATGTGGTTGGCAGAGTAATGGCCCCCTCTCCCCTGGTTCCCCTCTTCCCAAATGTTCATGTCCTAGTTTTGGAACCAGTGAATATGTTAACTCTCCAAGATGAATTTACCTTGCAGCTGGAATTAGTGTCTCTGCTCAGCAGAACATGTGATGGGGGGTTACCTTGGATTATCTGCACAGGCCCTGTGTAGTCATGGGGGCTCTTTAAAGTGCACGGGGAGGGGGATAAGGAGAACCAGAGAGATGTGACCCAACAAAGGCTCAGCTTGATGCTTCCTTCTTTGAACCCTGGGGAGCCATACACCAAGGAATGCGGGTGGCCTCTATAAGCAGAATAGGCAAGGAAACATGCCCTCCCTTAGGGTCCTTCAGAAGGAATGCAGTCCTGTTGACACTTCTGTATCAGTCCAGGGAGACCCATGTGGGGCTTATGACTTCCAGAAGTGTCAGAAAATGAATTTGTGTTGTTTTAAGACACTAAGACCACCCACTCAACACTATAGATGGGGTTGTAGATTGTATAATTGGAAGCAGCTTTTTCTTCCCTCTTTATTGCATATTTGCTGAGGACCTCCCCACCCAACCCCCAGGAAAATACAAAGTGTTCACAAACTTGGGTAATTAGAAGACGTTCCACTCTGGATCCTAATCTCCTGGCTGGGTGTTTATCTTTGCAGCTTTGGTCTAACCCAGTGGTAGAGTGTACGACCCTGCATTCTTAGTTCTTATGGCAGGTAGCAGCGGATAGACTCACCAGAGGACTCTGTATAACCTGGCTTCACCGCTGCTTCTTGTAAAACTACCTAATAGAGGGAGGGCAAGGGGCCAGAGTGAAGATGTGCAGGTTCAGAGGAAGAAGTAGAAGTAGTGGGACGCCTGGGTGGCTCAGTGGTTGAGCTTCCGCCTTGGCTCAGGTCAAGTCCCACATTGGGCTCCCTGCAGGGAGCCTGCTTCTCCCTCTGCCTATGTCTTTGCCTCTCTTTCCATGTCTCTCATGAATAAATAGATACAACCTTTAAAAAAAATGTAGATGTAGCAGTGAGGCAGGGGTTGAGTATGGATGGAGAGGACTGGCTCAGAGCCGTGGTGTCACCCCTAGGGCATAGAGTGCTCTTCCTCAGGCCTCGCCCCCCTGCAGGGTTCTGTTCCCATCTAGAGCGCGGGCATAGGACTCAGTGAGTTCTGTTGCCAGAGAAGACACTTTCTGTGTCAGTCTCTGATCTGTGTTCCTTCCCCTCTAGCAGAGCCTCTCATGATGCCCCCCAATACCCTGCCTCAAGGGTCTGTTTTCATGATCGCACCCACTCTCTTAGGTGGTCCTGAGTCCCACTGTCTGCCTTCAAATCCTAGCTCCATCATTTTCTAGCTGCCAGACACTACGTAAGTCACTTAACCTTTCTGTGCCTTGGTGATTTCATCCTTACTATGGGTACAGTACAGCACCTCCTCTCAGGGGGTTGGTGTGAGGGTGCAGAGGCCCTGTCACCACAGGCACAGGGTCTGGGGGTAGAGACAGGCGGTCAAGCACATGGACTGCCCCTGCCTCTGCCTCCGTTGTGGTAGGGCCAGGGTTGAGGTGCCCAGGACACCAGGAATGGCTGTCATGGCCTTGATGACAGTGGGCGGGGGGCCACCTCCTGAAGGAAGACCAGCAGGTCAGACTTTCCCCCTCTTCTGCGTTCCCGTGTGTCCTTTGGGGTAGGAGCCCGTTGGGGGGCCAGCGGCATGAGGAGGGGCCCGGCAGAGCCCTCAGGGACCTGTGTGCTGCTAGTGTCGGTGACATGTACTGTTTGTCTACCTTGTGCCTCCTCCCTTTAAAATGTGGTTTGGTGGGACTGCCCTGAGGCAAAACAACAGAAAGGGTTGGGAAGAGAGAGTTCAGATCAGAACATGGCTGCTTTCTCCTGCTGTGACAAACGTGAGGAGGCAGTGGCTCCCAGGCTGTGGAGACGGCCTTTGTGGAGGGTTGGGGTACTAGGAGTCGGTGGAGGTGCTGGGGCCCCCAAGCCTGAGGAGCAACAGTCACAGGCTCGGGGCTTATTGAGCGGCTTGCAGAGGTCCACCTGCCACCCTGCTGGGCCACATGGCTGCCCAGGCCCTGGGTGCCACTCTGCCAGGCCACACGACTGCGTGGGCCCTGGGTGCCGGCCTGGCCCTTCCGTGGAGGCGGAGTTAACTACCGTAGCACTGTCACTTGATGACCCTGGCCGGAAGCCAAGCATGTATCCTCCACTTCATGTGTATCATCTCATTTAACTTCATCACCTCACCAAACCAGTATTTGGACCAAAAATGGTTGCTCTTCTCTAGTCGAAGAAGCTAATGCTCCCAAGTACTTAGGTAGGTAGCAGCACTGGGCTTTGAACCTGCTTACTCGTCTCCCTGTTTTCTCTCGATGTGGTGAACCTGAGTTTCTTGTTACATGAATGAATAATCGGAATCGTGACTTAAAAGCTTGTAATAATAATGATGAAAATGAACTTACCTGAGCCCTCCCTGTGTACCAGGTGCTCTGTTGATGGCCTCAGATGTATTCTCTCATTTGATTCTCATAACAGGCTTGGAAGGCAGTACCACTATTGCCTTCTTGTCACTGTTGAAGCGACAGTGCACAGAGAGGTTAAGCCCTTTGCCTTTAGTCACATGGCCAATAAATGGAGAAGTCAAGATTCTGAGTGACACTTTTCATCACAGTGCTAGTTTGCTAGCTCTCTTGTTCATCTACACACTGTCCTCCCTCCTTCCTTCTCTCTCAAACCTTCTCTTCCCTCCCCCACTTTCTTCTTTTTTCAACATATTTCTATTAAATAATGTTTCTGTGCCAGGCCTCATGCCTGGTGTTGGCAGAGACAAACCCACTGTGTGGCTGGGGCTGGGGCCTCTTGCCGGGCCATCTGGTTGGTGGTCTCCTTCCCTCCCTCCCTCTAGGCCTGGCCCTGCCTCCCTGAGATTCCAGGAGTAGGTGCTTTCCGAGGCAGGGCATTTCCTTTTGTTTTTGTCAGAGGAAACAAACTCCGTGACGGGATATCCTCTGCTGTGTTTTCATGTTATCCAAGGGAGAGAAAAAAACAAAACGGGACCTGCCCGTGAAAAATGGAGGGGAGGCAATTTGCAAGCTGGAGGGAAACCCGTAAACTCTCTACTGAGGGTCGTTCCACAGCTCATTTTCCAGAGCTAAAATGCCAGGATGGCAGGAGACAAGCTAAAAGCTTTTTGACCTCAAGCCATCGCGTATCCCTGTGGTGGTTCCAGCTAGCAGCTCCTCCAGTCTCGGCCTCCTCCTTCCAGGGGCCAAACAGGGCTGTCCTGGTGATCCCTCCAAGCTGAGGACCTGAGCTTGGCCTCTTGTTCACCGCCTGTTACGCTGCCCCTCAAGGGAGTCGAGTTGCACGCGAGATAAGAGAAGAGGAAATCCTCCAAAAGCCCTTGTTGATGTGGGAGAGGGAAGTGCGGACAGCTCCCTTATGGATGTTTTGCTCTCTTTTCTTTCACAGCCTCTGGGGGTCTGTGTCTCTTCCCATTGCACACAGCCCCCAGAACCCCAGCGGGTGGGGCCCCAAGTTATCCCTGAGACGCAGAGTTTGAGCAGTGATAGACCTTCCAGCCTTCAGACTTTGCCCTCAGCTTTCTTCACGCCTTCCTGTATGAAGCAAGTAGTGGGAAGAAAAGGCCCTTTGACTCATAGCTAATCACAGCATAAGATCAAAGAGAGGGATCGAGCAATTAGAGAAACCACAAGCCCCTGTTCATTTGAAGCCGTCTTGGGAATGCTTTTGGGCAGGAGTGGACCTAAACAGGATGGGGGGCTGTTGAAAGGTGGAAAACCTTATAATTTTTGCCTGCTGAGTGTGTTTTGTGAACAGTAGGGAAAAGCTATGTGGGTAGCTCCATCTGTGGAAGTTTTAAAAACTGGAAGTATAACCTGAGGAATATGTTCAGGAAATATTTATTATTTAATTTATTCGGCTATTTGTCATGAGCTTGAGAATTTAAGGACCAAACTGTGCCACTGTCTTTGCGGTGAAAAAGAGGGCAAAGGGGAAGGGGCTATTTGTCCCTGGTGTGCTGTCATCTGGGCCTGGCTGAGAATACCATCTGGGGTGGGCTGTACTCTCAGAAACCCTCCTCTCTGGGGCTTAAAAGGCTGCTGTCCCATTCCTGCCTCTTCTCAGCTTGACCTTTTTGGGACTTGGCCTACCACTGAGTACAGTGCATGCTGGACAACATTTGATTATTCCTCCCCACCGGGGGTTTGTAGGTATCTGGTTACCTTTCACTATCTGATGGTAACAGACACCCATGGGAGGATGGAGAGGATGCAGTTGGAACACACTGTGGTCTTGGTACTCCTGGTCCCTAGCATGGTCAGTCACCCCAGTTTGCCCAGGACTGAGGGGGCTCTCCTGGGACAGAGGGCTTTCAGTGCTCAAACTGGCAAAGTCTTAGCAAACCAGGATGATCGGTTAACGTATGACCCTAACTGTAGAGTGTGTAGCTACCGCTGGTCAGAGGGTTATCATAAAGGTCATTTGGAGTTTAAAACACAGCTTTCCATTCCTGGTGTGTATTCAGCAAGAATGGTTAATGGTTGTCTACCTAACTAGCAGGCAGAGACTAATCTGGTCCTTGAATCTGTTTGGCTAGTCTGAGCAAGCTCACAGGTTAATTGAGGTTCCCAGTTTATGGCTGCTTAGTGGGGTTGGTGGCTGCCTAGTGGGGATGGAGCTCAGATGGTCAGATTTGGAGCTATCTTATGGCCTAAAACTCCCAAAAGTGGGCATTTTTTTTCCTCCTTATCTGAAATGAACCAATGGCTTAAAAAAATACTAAGGACATGATGTTGATTTACTGTTGGGGACACAGGAGAATGGAAGAGAAAAGGGAGAGGAGCATGCTTTATAGAACTTGAAAGTCAGCTGTGTGAGGGAGGAAGTTAAACTCCTAGGATGGAAGTGATTGCTTTGTGGAGAGTAGGCACTTAGCTTGGGAGTAGGACTACTGGTGGGGAGGCCCTTGGTGGTTTCTGCAGGTGGGCAGGGATGAGGAAAGGTGACTAGTTACCCAAGGAAAAGTGACTAGTTACCCAAGTTTTAACACTGGAAGTCCTCGGTCCAAAGAAAACTTAGCTGCTTATCCTAGTGGAGGGACAAGGCCCAAGAATGGGCGGTGGGGCAGGTTTTTTGTCCTCACTGGATGGAGGCATTCAGGTATGTGTTGGGAGAAAGTCAGGATCTAGAATTTAAATCACATGATAAAAAAGACTTTTATAGTGTTCTGAATCAAGAAAACAGATATATCTGTAGCCCATGTCTTCTTGGGCAAGCCGTTGTGGATGAGAACAGCTGGAGTCTAGCTGGCCCAGATGTTCTCTCTGGGAGCCAGGAGAGCAGCTGAGAGCAAAGGCCTGGGATGCAGGGGTTGTTTTGAAGTGAAATAGTTGCTGGGGGTCCCGAGCTAAGCTTCAAATAAATCTGTAATGCTCTGTGATTTTCTTAATTTCTTTTTGGAAAGTCACTCTCAGAATGTCTATTCTTTCCCTAGGGTAGGAGTGGGAGGGAGCAGAATTGGGGTCTAGTAGGACTGTGCTATCTCTTCTGGATTTTTGATCCAGGGGGCAGGCTTTAGCAGCTGTAGGAAAGTCCTCCAGAAACTAGAGTGGAGTTGGACGTCTGAGCACCCATCTGCCCTGCTCAAGCCAGTCTTTCCTGGATTTTAGGAAAAACACATGCACACACACCTGAACAGGGAACTATTTCTGTTTTCCAAGATATAGTGTAAATACCCATGTGTTCTGTGACCTTTTAAAGAGAAACATCTCTCTCCTTTTTCTGAGCATGTTCCTTGAGATGTTCCTTATACTTAATCTGTGAGATGGGAGAGAATACAGTGCTGTTGCCTGAGTCTTGAGGGATTTGAGGGTCATTCTTTTGTTCCAGTAGATTGTAAGCTCTGTAAGAGCAGAGGTCTGGCTTATTGCATTTACTGCTAAACCCCAGAGCCTAGACCAGTACCTGGCACACAAATGCTTAGTAATTAAGTAGTGAAGGCAATAGTGGACAATTTAGTAAGCACCTGAGTGAAAATGGTTCGTTACTACAGAGAAGTGCTTTCTGAAACTTGGCTATACATTAAAAACCGAGGAGCTGGGATCCCTGGGTGGTGCAGCGGTTTAGCGCCTGCCTTTGGCCCAGGGCGTGATCCTGGAGACCCGGGATCGAATCCCACATCAGGCTCCCGGTGCATGGAGCCTGCTTCTCCCTCTGCCTGTGTCTCTGCCTCTCTCTCTCTCTCTATCATAAATAAATAAAAAATTAAAAAAAATTTTTTTTAAAAAACCGAGGAGCTTTAGAAACACATCACTGTCCAGACCATGCCTCATACCTATTAACTTAAAATCTTAGGGGCTGAGACCCAGGCATAAGTATCTAAAAAATTCTCCAGGGGTGATTCATTGTGCAGCCAAGTAGGAGACCCCATCTTTGTTGGTCTGCTTGGGCAGCCATAACAGAAGACCACACAATGGGTTAAACAACAGAAATATGTTTTCCTCCTAGTTTTGAAAATTAGAAGTTCAAGATCAAAGTTCCAGTTGATTCAGTTGGTGAGACTCTTCCTGGCTTTCAGAAGGTCACTTTCTCCCTGTGTCCTTACATTGGAGAGAGAGAGAGAGAGAGAGAGAGAGCGAGAGAGCATGTGCACTTTGGTGTCTCTTTCTCTTCTTATAAGGGCCCCATCATTATGACCTCATTTAACCTTTATCACCTCTTCATAGGCCCAATCTACAGTCATGTTGGGGTTAGGGTTTCAGCATACAAATTGGGGGAGGAGGGAACAAACATTCAGTCCGTAAGGGGCCTGTTACCCAGAGTGTGGTTCCTGGGCCAGCAGCTACAGGCATCTCCTGGATGTTCGTTAGAAACACAGGCCCCACGTTAGGTCTATTGACTCAGAATTTTAATAAGATCCCCAGAAATTTTATGTACACATTAGTGATTGGGAGGCACTGCTGTGGAATGTGGGGATACAAAGAATCTGCTGGTGCTTCGGGTCCGTGAAGTGGAAAGTTATGGGAAATAAGGCTTGGCTGTCCTGGTGGAAGTTCAAACTTAGTTGGATAGGCAGGGGAGAGCCATGCAAGGACCTTGAGTGTGGGAGTGGTATGACTGGAATAGTGCTCTAGTGGGGTGAAGCCCTACTGAAGGAGTCTGGTGTCTCAGCATGTCACCTTCTCCTCCAGGTGCTGCTACCGGCAGCCAGCCTGCTGCAGCTCATGGATGTTCGGCAGAACTGCTGTGACTTTCTGCAGTCTCAGTTGCATCCCACCAATTGCTTGGGCATCCGCGCATTTGCAGATGTGCACACCTGCACCGACCTTCTTCAGCAGGCCAATGCTTATGCAGGTAACGGGGGGTTAGGGGGGCTGCACCCCTTCTAAGCTTGTGGATTTAATCACCTGGTCTGCAGTAGACTCCTCACCTGTGGTGAGAAGTGCACTCTCCCATGAAACAGTTGTAATTTAGTTGGAGAGACAAGACATGTGGCAAGATAATTAATAATAGAAGAGTTCCATTCATAGCCAAGTGGAATAGGATTAATTGCCAGACTGATGGTACAGACAGTCGTTTTCATGGGAGAAGAGGAAGGAGGTCTGAGAAAACTTTGTAGAGGGAGGAGTCATTTGAGCTAGGTCTTGACATAAATCTTTGTTGTTGTTTAAGAAAATTTCTTTTTTTGATCCACATATTCTATTTTATAGATTTTAAAATCTATTCTAGATTTTAGAAGTCAAATAGTACTGTATGTCTTCTGATGCTAAGCCAGTAAGCCAGAGACCCCTGCCCTGCCTTTCCATACCACGTCTTCTTCTGTAGGCCCAGTTGCCTCCAGTTCTGAAAGAATTAAAGTGCAGGTTCTGATTTCACGAAAAGCTACTTCATCTACTCTTTACCTTAATTTATCTAAATAAAATGTTCATATCACTATTTTGTATTTATTAGTTTGAAATATATCTGTTGACTTTTCACAGAAGTACAAGATTGACGTTCATAGATTTTCCCTCATGTATACACACTCTTCCTCCCTTTTTAATCTCCTAATACCATTTCTACAACTGAGCTGAGTTATAGATTATAATTAGTTCTTTTTCAATCAGAAATTTTTTTGTTTTAAATCAGAAAGGTGGTTGATAATTGCCTTTTCATGCTGGAATTTTATTCAGTTTATAATCTCAGACATTAGAAAACATCTAAAGAATTCTAATTAATACTAAATTAAGGGTAGCAGAGTCAGTACTAGGCATAGACTATGAGATCACATTGTGCTCCTTCATTGAGGAGTACATTTATTCAACAATGGCTTGATTGCCTACTGCTAAACACTTTTTAGGTGCCAGAGAAATCATAGAAAACTAAGCAATTGAAGTCTCTGCTCTCCTGAAAAAGAAAATTGCCCTTTTCTTTTTTATAATGAGTGTTCCTACCACCAATTCTTGTAAGGAAGATTTTTATAAGAATTGAACAGTAACTGTTCATCAGATAATGTGCTGATTCCAGTTTGTTTCTCTGCTGAAGCTTGTCCTCCTCTTATTTTAATGGGATTTGGGGAGGGAGTGGAGAGATGGACATGAATGTTTAGTCCACCATTTAGCTGGAAAGAAATCTTCAATTTTTTTTTAGCTGGAAAGAAATCTTCAATTTTTTTTTAAAAAAGATTTTATCTGTTTATTTTAGAGAGAGAGCACGAGCAGGGGGAGGAGCAGTGGGGGAGGGAGAGAATATTCAGCAGATTCCGCCCTGAGTGCAGAGCGCAATGTGGGGCTCAATCCCATGACCCTGAGATCATGACCTGAGCTGAAACCAAGAGTCGGATGCTTAACAAACTGAGCCATCCAGGGGCCCCAGAAGTCTTCATTGATATATATCGACCTGAGGACAAAGAAAGATCATGAATGGCCCAGGTAATGGGTCTATTTTTTTTAAAGATTTATTTATTTATTCATGATAGACACACACACACAGAGATAGAGATAGAGATAGATAGATAGATAGATAGATAGAGAGAGAGAGAGAGAGAGGCAGAGACACAGGAGGAGGGAGAAGCAGGCTCCATGCCCGGAGTCCGACACGGGACTTGATCCCGGGACCCCAGGATCATGCCCTGAGCCAAAGGCAGGCACCAAACTGCTGAGCCACCCAGGGATCCCCAGGTCTAGTTATTTTAAATAATAAATTCAGGCATGGTCCCCTCCTTCCCTCGCAGTAAAGCTTCTTCTTCTTCCCCCTGCCCGTACAGATACTGTCTTTCTTCTCTTCTGTGTCTCCTGTCCAACCCATGTCTGGAAATGAGCCGAGGGCCTGCTGGCTGTCCACCTGCCAGCTCCCTGTGCTGTGTTAGTGCCTTAGTCCACAAGGCACTGAGCATGTGCTCTATTTCTTGGAATTCTTGTGTTCTCTTATCAGTTCCCAGGCCCAAGAGCCTCCATAGACTCTCATTTCCCCTTGGAGTCTGTTTTGGACCCAGATGGGACCAGTTGTTAAGATGATGATTTTTGTGAAGGACATTCCCCAGTTGCCCCAATTCTGAATTATGCTGACTCTTCCTGACTCTGAACCTTGACTCTCTTCTTTCTCTGCTGCCCCTTCTATGCCTTTTTTCCCTTCCTATCCCTCACTCTACTTTTTTCTCAAGAGGTCCTTTCTATCCAGACTTTGAAGAGGTCACTTTCTTGAGGGATGTGCTCAGGCTTTGCTTCAGCAGGAGCCAAGAGCTTAGCTGAGGCCCAGGTCAGATTGTGAACATCTGCTGGTGTGGGGGCAAAGGGAGAGTACTTAGATGCCAGGAATTCTCTCTCTTCCCTGTCCTGCCCCTAACCTTATCCTTCTGCATAATGTGTGCATGCATGTAGAGTTTTATGTTTTGTAGTTGCTGATGCAGTTTTCTGAGGTTTGGGCTATGGACTGAAACCCCAACTTTGACAAGGCTCCCTGCTTCTTCTAGCCTGGATTCCCCACACTTTCACAATCTGTGTCTTCACCCTTTGGCCGTTTCACTATTCGATGATGACAGACACCCACAGGAGGATGGAGAGTATGTAGTTGGAACACACTGTGGTGTCTTGGTATTCCCTGGTCCTGATGCTGTCACAGGGATTGAGTGCCGTCAGTGTTGTGGGTGTGTGCATACACAGGTGTATACAGACATCCTGATGAATTATTTTTAGTTGGCATTTATTGAGCTGTCACTATGGGTCACACCCTGTGGTAAGCACTTTATGCACATCATTTCATTTAATGCATGCAGCAGCTAAGGAAATTAAAGCACAGAGAAGTGAAGTAATTGGTTGAGGTCACACAGCTGATAGAGACAGAGGCAGTGTTCAAACCCAGATAGCGTTGACTCCAGAGCCAGTGTTTATAACTACTACATTCTTTGACATCCAGGCTCCATTTGGACATAAAGTGGCCCTGCAGATTGGTAACCAATGAGTATTGGTGCCTAGAGTTGACATTTTTCATTGGAAGTGTGAGCCTGGAAGATGGAACCATGTAGTCACCAAATCCCAGCAACTAGACCCTGTAGACAGATGATCAATTCTCTACTAGACTTGGCTTGTTTAGTCATCTTTGGGTGGAGAAGTGAGAAGTAGGGGTCTTCAAATGGGGCACCTGGGTGGCTTAGTCAGTTAAACTTCTGATTCTTGATTTTGGCTCAGGTCATGATCTCAGGGTTGTGGGATGGAGCTCTGTGTCAGACTCCATGCTCAGTGGGAAGTCTGCTAGAGATTCTCTTCCTCTCCTTCTCCCCCTCTTCCCCATGCCCTCTCTCTCTCAAATAATAAATAAATAAATCTTAAGAAAGTCTGGGATGCCTGGGTGGCTCAGTGGTTGAGCGCATCTGCCTTCGGCTCAGGGCGTGATCCCGGGGTCCTGGGATCCAGTTCTGCATCGGGCTTCCTGAGAGGAGCCTGCTTCTCCCTCTGCCTGTGTCTCTGCCTCTCTCTGTGTGTCTCTCATGAATAAATAAATAAAATCTTTAAAAAAAAATCTTAGAAAAATCTTGCAATATATTCCAAATACCCTTCCATGTTAGCAGATACATTGCTATACCGTTATTATTGAAACCAATTTCTTCAGTCAAATTCAACTTATACTCATAATAAAAAAAATTCAAATGGTACATAAAGTTATAAAATGCGAAGTTAACCTTCTCCCAGGCCTTTTCTCTGGAGGGGACTATCTTGGGTAACCCTAGGGAATATATATATTATGCTTTTTAACATACCTAAATAGAAGCATTCTATACTCATTGTACTTTTCTTAATATAAAATCCTGGAGTTCTTTCCAGACCCTTGTGCATGGCTGTATCTTATTCATTTTCTCTGCTGCATCTTATCAAGGAACTATATAGTTTATTTAACTAGTCTTCAATTGATGGACATTGTTGTTACCAATTTTTTCTTTTATAGAAAATGCTTGAGTGAGACTTATGCATGTTTTGGAGTACACGCAAGTGTGTAAGCAGTAGTACAACTGTATTTGTGGGGTACCATCTTAGTCGCATAAAGTAGCTCAAAGAGAGTGCATTAAAAAAAATGATAGTGCCAAATTGTTCTCAAAAAAATTTTTAGGGTGAGCTCTTGCCTTCTGCTAAGTTGTCAGCCCTCTGGTGAAGGCGTTCAGGGGTAGACACAGGACAACTCTGAGAGCACCACCTCTCTCCGCCCAGCTGCCTGTTTGGTTTCCTGTTTGGAACAGCTCTGTCTCTTCCTGCTGTGGCGGTCCCCTTTGCTTCCTCTGAGTCCAGTTTTCCCCTCAAGGTGATGCCCCTAGATTTTGGTGTGAAACTTTATTCTGAGGTGAGGGAGGGTTGTCCCATGTTTAGAAGCTGACTGCTTAGACCCTTGCCTCCATTTGTTGGGTAGCTAGTGGCTGGGAAAGGGACCCTGGCCTTCTGTGCAGCCTCTTTCTTATACCTCATTATTATTTCCAGAACCGCTTAATCTTTAACCTCATCGGCCAGGGCCGAGGTTTATGGGGACTCAGTTGCTTGATAATTGAGCAGCCATTTACTGGGCCATCAACAGAGCTGGTTGGGAGGGATGTTAATGGGACTCCATTAATGAAATGGCAGTTAAAATTCTTTGGCCATGTTGTTTACATCAGTCTGCCAAAGCTGAGCTGAAAACCTTTTAGCCATGGGATGGAAAAGCCATTGGATTTCACGTGTTCATGGGGAGAAATAGCCTTCTTTTGACTGAGTCATTTGAGATCATGGAATGAAGTGATTGAATTAAAGGCAGCAAAAAAATGTTGACAAATCATTTAAAAAACATGAGCCTCTGACTCAGTGAGGGTTATCTTGTGAAATTGCTTCCTCCAACTTGGCATCATGAAATGATGA